GTCCTGGTCCCTGATTTGAAGCAAGCCTAATTCCTTAATCTAGATGCCTTTTCAGGTCATTCTTGATCCTAAACTATAGCCCCGGAAGTCTTCTTTCCAATTATGCAAGCCTCACATCAAAATTCCATGTGTAGTAAGAGATATTCCTCTTTTAGTGAAGGCTGCTCAGTTTCGGTCCAATCAGAATGATGCCCAACTTCAACCAATCATATCTCCCCCATCCGGACACGGCTTTAGGAGATTCTAAAGTGTAAAATGAAGCCCCAAAATTCTTATTTCCAACGGTGGTGGCCTCATAGCTTAAATCCAAGTATACAAAAGGATAGGCCAGATTTAACGAGGACTGCTCGTCTCTCTCTTAACGATTCATACCCAACTTCTTCCTCAACTTGGTTTCCTCCCTCTTCTTCTCTTTTCTTCAAATCCACACCCCTAAACAAGGTGCTTTGAAAGATTTTTCAAAGATTTCATCTTTCTTTCATTCATTTCCACTTTGTCCTCGCTTAGTTTACCGAAAAGCGTAACATTTGACAAAATGCGAGTCTCGGAACATCGTAGAAACTTTATTTCAAAAATATTTTGAAAGAGAGGGTTTTAAGGTCTAAAAACCATTCAAAAATAGCTTTGGCCCAAAATGGGGTGTGAGGTTAGGATTTGACTCCCCTTTTGCCGAAGAAATTGAACCTTTACCCTACACATCTTTCATCACTAAGTAAACCATCAATAGCGCCCAAGTCTCAAGGGCGGTCAAAAATGGGGTATCTACAGCTACCCTTACTGCTGTGTACACTATCAATTGTGTTCCTTCCCCTATCATCCATAATCAAACTCCCTTTGAAAGTCTACATGGCACTCCCCCTCCATACACCAATTTTGGATTTTTGGCTCTGCCTGCTTTGTTCTGCTTCAATCCCATGAACACACCAAGCTTGAACCTCATTCTTGTCTTTGCTGCTTTCTTGGATATGGGATTGAACTTAAAGAATTTCACTGTTGGGATCCTCTCTCTAAGCGTCTTCGTATCTCCCGCCATGTAGTTTTCCGGGAGCACAAAATGTTTTTCTTTCTCTCATCTTTTCACTTACCCGCACTTTCCACTCCGGTCATATTTACTAATCCTTCCATCAATCTCTTCTCTAATAACTTTGATACAGGTTCCTCCTTCATCGAGACACCCTTGTTAATCCCTGATCCCATCCAGACTGTTCTCTTTGATGGTCCACCTCTCATTGCACCTTCTAGTCCGTCTCCTCATTCTTCGCCAGCTCTTCCCCTCTACCGATCCTTCCACGGGTCGGCCGCACCAGGTAACTCAACCACCTATTCATCTTCGTGATTATATTGTTGAGTCTGCTTTTCTACTTATGAACCTACCTCCTATCGTAAGGCTTGTACTAATCCTCTTTGGCAGAAAGCTATGGCTGATGAACTTCAGGCTTTAGACAAAACTCACACTTGGGATGTTGTTGATCTTCCTCTTGGCAAGACTGCAATTGGTTGCAAATGGGTCTACAAAATCAGGACTTATTCTGATGGCTCTATTAAGCGCTACAAAGCTTATCTTGTTGCCAAGGGTTTCAACTAGGAATATGACATTGATTATGAGGAGACCTTCTCCCCTGTTGCTCGACCTACCTCTGTTCGTAGTTTGCTTGCTGTTACTATTGCTTGCCACTGGGAGCTCTTTCAGATGGATGTCAAGAGTGCTTTCCTTAATGGTAATCTTCTTGAGGAGGTCTACATGCAACCTCCACCTGGGTCTACTTATCATACTCATAAGGTTTGCAAACTACAGCGTGCCCTCTACGGTCTCAAGCAAGCACCCCGCGCTTGGCTTGCTAAGTTTAGTTTTACCATTCATGACTTCGGGTTCACCTCTAGCTCCTATGAATCTGCTTTATTTATTCGGACTACTCCTTATGGTACTACTCTTCTTTTTCTTTATGTGAATGATATGATTATCACTAGTAATGATGAAGGACCTTGGTACTCTTAACTACCTCTTAGTCCTTGAAGTCTCCCATGATTCTACTGGTTCCTATTTGTCCCAGGCCAAATATGCATCCGATCTTCTGGCTCGTGCTGGTCTTATCGATTGCAAAACTACCTCTACTCCAGTTGATCCTCAGATTCATCTTACTCCTCTCGATGGGGATCTTCTCTTTGATGCTACTCTTTATCGCCAGCTAGTCGGTAGTCTTGTCTATCTCATTGTGACTTGTCCTGACATTGCCTATGTTGTTCACATTGTTAGTTAGTACATGTCGGCTCCTCACACTCCCAATTATACTACTCTACTCCACATCCTTCATTACCTCAAAGGTACTCTGTTCCATGGCCTTCACTACTTTGCTTCCTCCCCTCTTGAACTATGTGCCTTTTCTGATTAGGCTGGGGATCCTACGGATCGACGCTCCACCACGGGTTTCTAGTTCTTCTTAGGGAATTTTCTTCTTACTTTGCGCAGCAAGAAACAATCCCTCACTGCCCGCTCTAGTACCGAAGCTGAATACCGAGCTCTTGCTGATACTACTTAGGAACTTCTCTGGCTTCGTTGGCTCCTTGCTGATATGGGTGTTTCTTCTTCTGGTGCTACCTCTCTCTATTGTGACAATCAGAGTGCCATTCAGATTGCTCACAATGATGTTTTTCATGATCGCACCAAGCATATTGAGATTGATTGTTATTTCATTCGACAGCACGTTACACGTGGTACTGTTCTTCTTCTTTCTATTGCTTCTACAGATTAACCTGCTGATATTTTCACCAAGGCTCATCCTTCTGGGTGCTTCAGTGATCTCATTTCCAAACTCAACTTGGTGGATGCCTACCCTCCTTGAGTTTGCGGGGATGTTAGTATATATTATACATTAGCTATAAAGGATGTAAAGCCACGCTTTCATTATTATGATGTGCATAGCTTTAATTATGTTGTCTAGCTTTTCTATTTCTTCTTTCGATTCTCCTCTCTATAAATGAGAATCATCTTCACCTTGTAAACATATACTGAATATATCAAATACACTTTATTTAGTCTCTCTCTCTCTCTACCACACTTACACAAAAAAAAGAAGCCAAATAGAAAACCGTTTGACGCGAAATGGATCAAACCGAAGGAGAGTCCATAATACTCTCGGACTGAGTTCTGGTCAACGGCACAGTCACGATGGTGACACTCACTGCCGACGGCGAACTCTAGTGGTTGGGGGCGTCGGAATCCAGAGCTGTTGGCAGTGGAGAAGGAGGCCCTCAATTTTTGCACCGAAGGTTCCAAAATCAAGATCAGGACCGTCGTTGAGAGTGGAGATGGAATCAACTGTGTCGAGAGTAGAGGAACTCCAGTGAGGTAGACCTTCGCGTTCGAGACTGTGTCTGACGAGTTGCTTGGACTTTGGTGCCAAAAGCACCGAGAATACATCGATTCTCTAGGTAACATCATTTTTCTGTTCTTCAATCATTATGAATTTGAAATGTGTAATCGTAGTGTGCAATTAATGAATTAGGAATCACATGTGTGGTGTATATGAATTAATGAATTTGAATTTTTAGCTCCTGAGTTTTTGATTAATTAGTTAAGGGTGTTTGGTTTCTAAGAAACTGCAGTCAAACAAGAACTGGCAATGAGTAGGAGAGAGAGATGGTTATAATTTATATTTTTATTTTTAATCTTTCACTGTCTTTCACATTTTTTTAAATACTAAAAAATTATTTAATTGTCTCAAAATTATATATTTGATTACTTTAAAAAAAATTAATTAATTAATGTGTATTTGATTTTGTTGTTAAGTCAAATAAAATAAAATAAAATAAGATTTAATATATATTTAACTTTGATTGTGAATCCAAAAAAAAAAAGAAAAAAAAAAGGGTCGAGTTAAGTTGGAGAAAATCCAAATCCATTAAAAGATGGGAAGGGTAGTACTCATGAGGCAAGTTTGATTGGATGGATTAGAGCATGGGATTAGGATTATTAATTCGTGGACCCAATTATCCTATATTTGTTTTAACATTTTGGTTTAGGATTATTAATCCAATGGATAATTAATTTAACAAATTTGTAGGATTATTAGTAATGGGGTAGGGGTGAGATTATATATCCTGAATTGGGGAAATAAAGTAAAAAGACTATTTTACCCTGATTATATAAGCAAAAATGTAAGCCAAATTGTATCATTTCTACCCAGCAAAGACTCAGCAGCTTTGCTGAGAGAAGATCTCCACCTTCGTGAAGATCTCCATCTCGGTGTGCCGATTTTTGCCTTCGTTTGCCGGAAAATTCACCGTTGGCACTAAAAAGCTCTCATTATCGGTGAGATTATCATCTTCACCATTTATTTTTTCCAGATTTTTATCTATTTCAACAATTAATTTTACATGTTTGGTTCAAAATTTATGATAAACATCATTGTTAGAATTTATGAGATGTATTTGTATATATATACATAGATCTATGTAGTTGTAACAATGTTTTGATGGTTTTGATATATTATATACTAGATCTGTGTTTGATTCTATGTTAAAGTGAGAAACTCATCATAAACAATTGAAACATGCTCATGAAGTGTTTGATTATTGCCCATCAAGTGTTTGTAACTTCCACTTTGATTCTTGCTTTGAAACCCTATGGAGTTTAGTTGCTGTCTGTTTCAGTTCAGTTCTGGCTTGATCACTAGTAGTTTTCTCCATTTTAGAACTTAATTTTTAATCTCAAGTTATGAGTATTAGTTTTTGTGTAGACATTTCTTAGTCTCCTGAATGTTATTGTTGAATTGTACTTCCCACCTAATGAGATGACCTTTTTTTCTTGTTAATTTTCTTTGTTTGGTATCTGCGATGTAAAATAAACTGATGTATTATTGATTGATTGATGGATGTTTTGATGTGTAAATTACAGATGGTGAGGTACTAATTATATAGGAGAGGATTGGGGAGTAGGTGAGTGTGTGTGGTAGGTGAGTTGAGTGGAGGTGGTAGGTGATGATATATTCTAACAGCTTTGTTTGGTATCTGCGAAAATATAAGTGATAATAAATGTGGTGAAAAAATTAATGTCTTTTAATATTTTATTTATAAATGTGAAAGTGAGTGTAACCAACAGTTTGAAGAAGGATCCAAGGTACTTTTGTCATGTTAGATTTCTAGGCTGACATGAGGCCATCCTCTTCTGCTATAGATATATCATCTTCTGCTATAGATATATCAATTCTCTCCTCTTCTTGCCATAATTGAGACTGACTTAAAGCTTTTTTTTTTGAAGAAAAAAATAGTTTAGTTTCTTATTTTCTAAATGAAAATTGTTTGATGTAGATATTTTGAATACATATTAAAACAATACATATATATATATATATATTGGATGAGTTCTAAAAATGGTGGCTACCGTTGGCAATGGTAAGTAGCCAATAGAGGTGGCTAGAGGTGATTGAGTTTTTTTATCATCCAAGGAGAGTGATGTGGAATGATGCGTGCACATGGAGGTTTTATTTACAATTTTATGGTTTTATGTCTTTGTTTATTTATTTTAATTATAGTTTAATTAGTTGTTTTGTTACATTTGGTAATTATCAACTGAATCAAATTAGAACATTAGACTTGTTTTGGTCAAATGAATTTTGTATAAGACACTGTTCTTGTGATTTTGGCTAAGGACCCACATCAACACCCTTCATGATGTTTAGTGTTTTTCCCTTTGAATTAGGATATTCAAACCTTCAGCCACAATAATGGAAAGGAAGGGGGACAAGGGGTCACCTTGCTTAAGCCCCTTTATTAAACTCTTGATCACTGATCCATTAGCAAGTAAGGAGTGGGATGCTTTTGAAATGCATTCTTTAGTCCATTTACACCATCTCTCTCTTGAACTATATAATTTTTTAGCATATGTAAGAGGTAATCCCAATTGATACTCATAGTCCTTCTGAAAGTCAATCTTAAGGATTATACCTTCTGATTTTCTCCTTTTCCAGTGATCAATGATCTCATTTGCAATAAAGACTCAATCAAGAATTTGCCTACCATGAATAAATTGGGTTTCATCAATGATCTCAAGCAAAATATTTTTTTACTCTGTTAGCTTTTGATAAAATTGTACACACTGCCCCCACCATATTTATAGGTATGTACTCATGCGGCAACTTAGGACAGTCAACTTTATGGGTTGCGCAACAACAGTGGCGTTGATTCCTCTTTCCAATTTCCCATTAAAATAAAACTCTTTTATGAAATTCATAATGTCTTCCTTAAGGACTGGCCAGATTTTTTTATGTGTGGTGCATGTATAATAATAATAATAATACTAATTAATATATTAACTAATATATTAATAGATGATCCATGTCATGTATAATATATATATATATATATATTTGTTGTGATCCATGTCATGTATTGCTATTTTGAAAATTGTTGCATCGACATGGCCGTATCATATATATATATATATATTACTGTTGTTGTGACTTGTATCGTGCCTTGATTTTTTGAAAATTGTCATGTCAACATGTCTGTATCATGTCGTATTTGTGTCTTTTACATACCTATGTTTGTTAGCCATTAAGTGATGGGCCCTTTCTGCTGATCCAATATTGTGAGGAAAGGTTGCTATGGACAAAATTGCTTTAGTAACAGAACCATTATTAGGTTGTTATAGAACTTGGTACTACCATTTCTGATGGATGTAATAGTATACGAAACCTTGGAAGTTTGGAATTACCTCACAAATTTTTTATGACGAATCTGGATGGGGCCTGGTTGAGTTGATGTTGCAATTTTGTTTGTTTGATAATCCAGTTCCTATCTCCTGCCAACTGATTAATCACCTAGTTATTTAGTTATTTTGTTGTGTGAATAGCATTTCTATCATTAAGGTTAAGGTCATTCCTTCATCTTTTCGTTGTTATTAAGGGAAAAGTACATATCAGGGTTATTAGGATGATTTCAATGGATTTGAGAACAACTTCCCTGATTTCTTTGTTAATCAATGAGTCATAGTCCTTATTATATTTCTGCAAATTTGACTGCTCATTATAATTTTTAAATATATGATATGTTTCTCTCTTGCTATTTTAAATTAAAAAAAAAAAATCTATGCGTAAGAAAAAAATTGTAATCATATTGAATGTGTTTAGATTTGAATTAATGCAATCTTTTGGGAGCTCTTTCAGTACCCATTAGAAATACATGTTGTTCTAATCTCTTACACTAACTAGATCTAATGTGTTAGTTGAAGCATTTGTAGATGGACAATAATGAATGCTCAGACAGTACGACGGACCTATTTGAAGCATTTGTAGCACTCCAAGAAGTTGTGTCATCTATTAACTATGTATGTGGTGTGTACATTATTGTATTACATGTTGCCTTGGAGAGGTACCAATCTAGGTTGGATATTAAAAGGTCACCACATCCCTTCCAAGCACAATTAGACTATTTGAATAGATTGGTGAAAGATAGCGATATTGATTGTCATGAACAACTCCCAGTGAATAGGCGTACCTTCATGTGACTTTGTACACTTGTTCGAAGTGTGGGATTATCTGATTCCAAATATGTCCTCTTAGAGGAGAAAGTTGCAGTGTTCTTAAATGTGATTGCACATGACTATAAGAATCGCAACATCAAGTTCAATTTCATGCGGTCTGGGCAAACAGTTAGTCAGTACTTTAACGATGTCCTTATGGCTATTTTACGCCTACAAGGTGTCTTACTTAAGACACCAGAGCCAATAACTGCAAATTGCACAGATGATAGATGGAGGTGTTTTCAGGTATTACAAAGTTTAATTTCATTTAGATTTTGGGCAAACACTAACATATTTAAAATGAATAACCTTATTTTATTTTGATCTTTGGTAGAATTGTCTCGGAGCTCTAGATGGAACTTATGTTAGGGTTCGTGTTCCTGTAATAAGTAAGCCAAGATATAGAACACGGAAGGGTGAAATTGCTACTAATGTCTTGGGTGTTTGCTCCCAAGACATGCAGTTCATTTATGTGTTGCCTGGATGGGAAGGGTCAGCTTCAGATTCTAGGGTACTTAGAGATGCTGTGAATAGACCAAATGGATTGAAGGTGCCGACCGGTAAGAATCTATATAGTTAATTGATGTAATCTTAAATATTGCCCAATTTTTAAAGTACTTATACATATGAAACCCATACTTGTTTTCAGATTTCTACTATCTTGTAGATACAGGTTACACTAATGGGGAGGGTTTCTTAGCGTCGTATAGAGGGCAATGCTATCACTTCTCTACATCGAGAGAAAGGGGTATCCCAGTGAATCCTGAGGAGTTCTTTAACATGAAGCACTCTGCTGCTCATAACGTTATTGAGACGTGTTTTGGGTTACTCAAGATTAGGTGGGCAATATTGAGAACTACTTCGTACTACCCAATCAAGACCCAGGGTCATATTATTACTGCATGTTGCCTTCTCCACAACCTCAACAGACGTGAAATGCCAGTGGATCCATTTGAGGTCGAGTTAAATAACACTCCTACACCTCAATCTAATTTAGGAGAAGAGTTCATTAATATAGTAGAGCCATCAAATCAATGGAGTGATTGGAGGGATGCATTGGCAAACATATAATGTTTAATGAATGGCAAGCAAATAGAGAAGTTGGTGGAAATCCTCCGTAGTTGAGATAGTTTATTTAAATATTTTATTTGTAATTATGAGAATCTTGTCTAGTTTCATAATTGCAAAATATGTAATGAGAATCTTACATAGTTGATACGGATTTATTTTTCAAGCTAATCAATTTTATTTGTTTTAATCTTTATTTCATGGAGAACCATTTGCTGCTTTCATGATTGCATAATAATATCTATATTTTAGGTAGATTGAGTAATTGTTTAATATCAAGAGTGCTTTTTTATTTTATTATATATATATATAGTGTCTGCACACTTTTCAATCATATTTTTACCTTGTCCTCCATACTTGTATTTTATATATATATATAGTGTATGCACACTTTTCAATAATATGTGTTGTACATCATTATTATAGGCATGAATAGTGTTGCTACCAGTCGTTCTCGAAAGAAAAGTAAGGGGAAGGCAGATGCTGGCTCAATTGGGAGTCGTAGGATTTGGACGAAGAGGGAGGACTTGTTTCTCATAAGTGCAATGAGAGATTTGTGTAATAAACCTAAATGGAAGGTTGACAATGGGCAATTTAAGTCGGGGTATTATGGCGAACTTGAGAAGAGAATAGTCACGAATTTTCCTGGAAGTGACCTTCGTGCTTGTCCTCACATTGAGTCAAAGATAAAAATTTAGAGGAAACACTAGTGTATGCACACTTTTCAATCATATTTTTACCTTGTCCTCCATACTTGTATTTTGTATATTAGAATGAGCTATTAAATCAATAATATGTGTTGTACATCATTATTATAGGCATGGATAGTGTTGCTACCAGTCGTTCTCGAAAGAAAAGTAAGGGGAAGGCAAATGCTGGCTCAATTGGGAGTCGTAGGATTTGGACGAAGAGGGAGGACTTGTTTCTCATAAGTGCAATGAGAGATTTGTGTAATAAACCTAAATGGAAGGTTGACAATGGGCAATTTAAGTCGGGGTATTATGGCGAACTTGAGAAGAGAATAGTCACGAATTTTCCTGGAAGTGACCTTCGTGCTTGTCCTCACATTGAGTCAAAGATAAAAATTTAGAGGAAACACTATGGCCTTTTGTATGAAATGACTAAGCTTAGTGGGTTTGGATGGAATGACACTGAGAAGATGGTTCTTGTTGACAGTGATGATGTTTGGGAAAACTTTGTTTGGGTAAGTTTCTTTCTTCTATTTTTTAGTGTTCATCTCATCATAACTACTAGATATCCCATTCATCTTCATTTCAATTTTATCTCATTTAGCTTACCTTTAATTTGAGCTCTTGTTGAAAGAGCTCCAAGTACATATTCACTCCCTATACTTTTGTTTATGTGTTGCATGCTTAAATGTTTTCTTTCTTTTTAACTTGTATAGAGACAACCAAGTGCGAGTTCTATGCGAAACAAGTCATTTCCATATTATGAAGATTGGCTTGTTCTCTTTGGCAAAGACAAAGCCACTGGTGAGTTAGCTGAAGATCCCACAGATGCAGTTGAAGCAATTGCTGTGGAAGAAGTCATGGGGGAGAAGGGTGATGGTTCTCCAGCTAAGCAACTCAATGTTGCTGACTTCGAGTGTTCAATGTCTACAAATGGAAATGCATCCAACTCTTCTACCTTTAGCAACAGAGGAACAAAAAGATGCAGAACTACTGAAGGAATCGCAAGTAATATTGCTACAATGACAGAGACACTCGGCTCTTTTTTGGACAAAACGGACACTAGATTGGGTGAGATTGTTAAAAGGATTTGATATCAACATGACTTATCCCAAGCTAGGAGGAGTGTCAATGCTGAACTTCTGAAGCTCCCCCTTACATCAACTCAAAGGTTGACAATAGGTTCTCTCATTGTCAAAGATGCTCAGCGAGTTGACTTCTTTTTCAGTCTCTCTGATGACGACAAATTGGAGTGGGTATGTCTTTCGTTGGGAGGGCACGTATGAGTACACATGTTGGGGATTGTGGTTTATTCTACATAATAGAATATATAATAGTATTTGATAATGTAAGAATTTAGTTGTGTAGAAGATATTGGAGATGCTATATTTCTAGCTTACATACATCACTATTCTACAAACTATTGTGAACATTGTTTTTCTTAGTTTAATATTGAACTTGAGTTGATTGGTGAATCAAAAAAATGCTACAAGAATCATAACTTTCAAAATGCTACAACTTTCAAGCTTGGACTAACTTTCAAAATGCTACAACTTCAGAGCCTGAGGAGAATCCACCGCCAAGTTTTAATCCTTTAAATCCCACTCCCCATGGCAACCTAGAAAGCTCCTCCAAGGGATTCTTTTAAAGTAATGTTAGGTATCATGAAAAATCTTTCATAAAAATAATCATGAAAGCTTTGTGACCTTTGAATTACACTTAAAATAAAGCACCACACAGTAATTAAGGTAATTCAAGAATCATAACTCTTTCATAATCATTTTTATGAAAAAATTTTCACGATCCCTAACTTTTCTCAAAGTAAATTGTGATGTGGCAATCTCAAGGAATTCTACCTAAGGGGTTGTGGCGGTTGTTTTACGTAATGACAAAGGCCGAGTGTTGGATGGGCTAGCTCGTTCGATATCCATATCCTCTCCTTTCTTCAAGGGGAAGCCATGGCTATTAAACTGGCTTGTTTTCTTGCCACTGCCCTCATAATTTGCACCAGGTGGAAATTGAAAATGATAACAGGACTGTTACTTTTTGAGTGTTTTGAAGAATGTCCCTCCATGGGAAGCGGCCATTATCTTCAAGGATATCAGATAATTGGCCTCTCGGCATCAATTCTCTATTAGTTGGAGCCTGGGACCATGAACTTGGTGGAGCATTAGGTCCCGAGGGCTGCTCTTAAGGGCTGTTGAGGGCTTAATTGTGTCTCAAACCCTCTTGCTCCACATTGTTGTTGACTCTGTTTCCGTAGAAGCTTTAGAGTTGTTTTCCTCTGTTAAAAAAAAAAAGAAAAAAAAAGAAAAAAAGAAGTGAAAGGAGCTCATGTGCACGTCTAGGAACGACTGACGTGTGCTGACGCACATGCTTGCTGAGGTGGCATATTTTATTATTTTTTATCAAATTTTAAAATAATATAACTTCTATTTTGCATATTTGTTTTTCTATGAAATTTATGGCTGTGTTTGGTGAAACTTTCCAAGCATAATTCCACAACATAATTTGAGTGCTCTGTTTGTTCGTAATTTTTAAAAATTGATTACACACCTACTTTTTAAAACACATCTATCTGGTCATCTTCCTGAACGTCCCTCCGGACGTCCGGCTGCTTAACCGGAACAGTGTTCGTTTTTTTTTTGACACCTGTTATTTTTATATTTTAAATAAAAAATATTTTTTAAATTTAAAAAAAAAAATTATAAGCTTTGAATAGAATTTTGGATTATATGTTTAGTTGAGTTGTAAATTTTTAAATAAAATATAATATGTCACATCACTCAATTCAAAATTTTTTTCAAAATTCATAATTAAATAAAATTTTCACACTCAAATCATAATTTCATAACTCACAAACTCAAAATACAACTCTATTCTCAAATCATAATTCTAAACCTCTACCAAACGTAACCTATATTTTTTGAACCTACCTTTTCACATCTATCAAATAAAATTAAGAGACTCGATTCATAAATTCAAATTTAAATTTTACTTGGCCTCCAAACTCTCAAATATTTTGTTGATAAAAACAAAGGTAGGCAAAATAGCCATATATATATTGTGGGTGTTTGGGAAGTTATTGTTCTAGTAAACTATTTTAGTTTTTGACTATTTTAGTGAACAAAGATTTTTGTGTTTAAGAAGATGATTGAATTTTTTTGTAGTTAGATGTGATAGTTGTGAAAAAAAAAAGTAAAATAATTATGAATTTGATATGACATTTTATCTTATTAACTATTTTATCTTATTTTATCTTTTTGTAAATTTTAACCTAAAAAAGGCTAAAATAACCCTTGCCAAACACAACCATTGTACACCTTCTCTATCTCTCTCTGAACCTTTTCTACACATTCCCCCCCTCTCTCTCTCTCATCATTCTTTTCTTTTCTTTTCTTTTTTTTTTGATTAGATCTGCCGCGTATATATACATACTTTGATCATCAATTGCTTCGGTTCCGGCGAAGCCTCAATCACCACTGCGAGACACAAGAACAAACCGATCTATAAATTATAGATCCGCAAGACGCTGTCGATGCAAGCGGAGATTAGAGATCAGAGTTCTGAAGTGGCGGTAAATCAGACGGCTCCCATTTACTCCATTGTTCTATACTCTTCTTCTTCTCAACATCCTATATATATATATATATATACTCTATTGAATCTTCTAGCTCTATTTTGGACAACAGAGCTCTTCTTCACCGAACCGATGATCCTATATATATATAGATGACTGGGTTTGAAGTTTTTTTGTTTGTTTGTTCTTTCTGTGAAAAAAGTGAAAGGAAAATGAGTTCAGGCTTTTACACTACTCAAAATCATAACAGTCTTTTCAAATTTTATTCATTTTTTTCAAGACTTCAATAATTGTTCAAATTGAATGCGTAACTACCATTCTCACACATGCAGAGAGATGTGGATAGCTACTAAGAGCATCTCCAAGGATAAGAGGCAAAATGTCTTGCAAAAGTACACATAAAAGTATCATTTTCATTTTGCCTAACTAGTTTAACTAGTGTGCACTTCAACCATACTCTTTATTTTAGTTAATCAATCAAACTAAATTAATTTTCGAAAGAAAAATATTATAAACATAAATAAATGAATAAACAATCTTTTTATAACATGCTGCATATATTGACATGACATTTGCAAATATGTTTTTAAACTATTGATAAGGTCATCCCCCAAGACAACCGATGTGTCTGTTATATGATCACCAATGGGGCGACCAACTGAACAATCGACTTGTCTGTTGGGAAGAAGATGAACAATATTTTTGGACAATATTGTTGTGCTGACAACTTTTGCTTATCAACGGAAGCGGGCTAGATGTGGAGAATGAAAATCAAAATGGGCAAAATGCCTATCCTGATGCAGAGTCGGTTGGAGGAGAAGAAAATAGGGTTCACTAGCAAAAATGCCTAACGATGATGTTTTGCCTCTCCCCCTAGAAGTGCTCTAAGTGTTGGATTATATTTATTTAATATTATATATATATATATATATATATTAGAGACATATATGTATATTTTGCTTTCTTCTTGACCATTGTTCTTGTGTTTTCAGAGACATATATATATATATATCAGGTAATGTGCTTTGTGTTTTCAGATCTGAGTCCATTGAACAGATCAGTCATATATAGAGTTTAAACAGATAAATAAATAAATAAACAAATAGAAAAAAAATAGGCTTATGAAATTCAATAGATAGAAGAAATAAGCTAGAATTTCAACAGACAGAAAAAATTAGAACGATAATTTCAGCAGATAAAAAAAAAGGACAAGAATTTCAACAGATAAAATTTCATACAAATAGATTTTCAACATACAGAATCAAAATTTCAACAAATAAAATAAAAAAACTTAAACAGATAGAATAGAAAATTTCGATAGATAAAAAAAAATTCAACAGATAGTTGTTAATAAAAATTAAAACAGTAAAATTGGAAACAAAATGTCCTTAAAAACAACAAAATGACTTTTTACCAAACTATTTTTCAAAACGTAGATTTTTCACCAACAAAAAATATTCACTGGATCTAATACCTTATGCAATTATTAACTTACACTTTTCAATAATTTTCTCCAAAATCAATATTGAAAACAAAATAAAATAAATAAATTTGGTGAAGTTATTGTACGGACCATTAAAAAATACTAAGAAATTTCGCTTTTCCAAAACTAGGAATTTTCGCTTTTTTTCAAAATTGAAAATTTTCTCAATTTTATTCAATTTGTGTGAAATTAAAAAATATATATTTACCAATTAAAAATGAAATAAATAAGCCAGCCAAGCAACTCATGGATTGAATATGAACCAAGACAATTCTTTTAGGAGTAGGCTTAAATAAAAAATTGTTGGCATCAAAATCACCTTGAACTCGATTTCTAGAATAATTCTATTGTTTAATCCAACATTTCGAACCCCAAACCTTTTTTTTTTCCTTGGGAAAAAAGGATGCTCTGAGGTGTCATCACGCCATCCATGGGCCCCGGCTCCACGATAACAAGTTGCTGACCTAATTTGACCTAACGCATAGGAAAGGACCCACCATCGAGGCACCAGCGGAGCTCAATCATACGCCACAAACGAGCCCAGATTTCAATTGGAGTACAAGGTGAGGTCTCCCAAGAGAGCCGGCTGCAAAACAATCATTTCCCCCCCTCAGGATTTGAACCTGGGTCACGTCTATGGAGAAGGATGTCTTCTTCACTGGGCCACCACTCCTGGTGGTTTTTGAACCCCAAACTATCTCATGTTCTATTGTTTAATCCAATATTTGAAACTTCAAACTAATTCCTGTCCATCATAACATGAGAAACTATGATATAATTTAAATATAAAGTTTAAATTTATTATTATTAAAATTTTCCACTAATTAACCTATCAATTTTTTAGATTAGGTGTAAGGCTAGGGCTAAAATATGACTTATAATTTAGGCAACCTGATATGAGACAATTTGTTCATACATAGATATACCTAACTATTCATTTAATAGTTTGGGAATTTTAGTTAGAGCTCCCTTCTTATAAGTTTACACTAGTACAAGGACACAAAAATAAACTTACTAGTTCAGGTCCTCTCATATTTCGCATAACAAATTTTTAACCAAAATAGCGCTTGTTGTAATGCTTTTGTTGTTCAACATCTTTTATGTCACGACCCAAACCCACCCTTGTAGGTTTATGTAATGCCCCCAAAATATAACAATAAAATTATCTCACAATATTTACCAATTAACAATACATTTCAGAATATGCTATCTTTACATCCATATGATCCAGTTGTACAAAAGATGGCACATGCAACTATACATTCATAAGTTCTAACCCTGAATCTATAACATGTGTCATAAGCAAAAAATATGAAATAAGAGTTAAACAGATAAATGAATGCCTTAATGGCTACAACTTTCCAAGTTAATGCTTGGCTATAACAAAAGTGAGCTTGAAA